ATGATCTGGCGAAAGCTACTTAGCAATAGCAAATACTTTTCCAAATTGTTCTTTCACCCAATATCACCATATAATAGTCTTGCTGTGCTAATAAGCAATATTTACATTGCTGGTGTAGTGAAAACATTAATTTTATTTAAGAAACACCTTATTGTAGCTTCATATTACTAGGCTGCAAGATCTTGTGATATATACAAAAGCCTGGTTCGGCCACATCTGGAGTATTGTGTCCAGTTCTGGTTGCCTCATTACAGGAAAGATGTGGAAACGTTGGAAAAGGTGCGGAGGAGATTTACCAGGATGTTGCCTGGAATGGAGGGAAGGTCTTATGAGGAAAGGTTGAGAGAGCTAGGGCTTTTCGCTTTAGAACGACGAAGGATGAGAGGTGACCTGATAGAGGTGTACAAAATGATAGAGTGGACAGCCAGAGACTTTTTCCAAGTGTGGAGGTAGCTATTACGAGGGTTCATAGTTTTAAAGTGAGTGGAGGTAGATATAGGGGAGACGTCAGAGGTAGGTTCTTTACTCAGAGAGTGGTAGGGGCGTGGAATGCATTGCCGGAGAAGGTAGTGGAGTCGGCCTCATTAGGGGCATTTAAGTGGCTATTAGATAGGCATATGGATGATAGTATAAGGTAGGGGTGGAGGTTAGATAGACCTTAGGTTTAGGGTAAAAGTTCACCACAACATCGTGGGCCGAAGGGCCTGTACTGTGCTGTTCTGTTCGATGTTCTATGGAATCACTTCCTGAGATTATGTCTAATGTTCTATTTGTACAAACCCGAATACTACATGCACTTTTTTACAGTTCCTAGTGTATCTCCTTTACAACGAAAACTTTCATTTATATAGCATCGTTAATGCGGTAAAATTTTCCAAAGAGCATTATCAAACTAAATTTAATATTACACCACATAGAGATGTTTGAACAGGTAAGTAAAAGCTAGACAAAGAGATAGGCATTACAGTGCATCCCAAAGTAGGAGGGAGGGAGGGACACAATTCCAATATTTTAGGGAGTAGGCAACTGAAGGCATGCCCACCAAATGGTGCATGAATGGACAGTGGAAAAGAGGTTTGCACATGAGGTCAGAATTGGAAGAATGCAGCAATCTAATTGTGTTATTGGGCTAGAAGGAATAAGAGAGAAGTGATTTGACTACTAGGTCAAGAGCATTGCATTTAAGACATTGCTGGACAGGAACTGGAGCTAATAACACAAAGATAATAGATGAATTTGTTTATTTGTATGAGCAGTAGCGATTTGGATGAGCTACATATGAATAAGATTTTAGGAAGACTTCCATTTGTCATATGAACCTGACCCCTCTCTGTGATTTCGCTTTAACTTCCTCTCCTGTTCTCAATACCAATTCCAGAATCATTTCTCTTACGCATTAACACAAAATAACGAGAACAAATCAATAGCCTGCATTGCTCCTCGATCGAGTTTATTTCCCATTGTTTTCAAATGCAATATTTTGGTTTAATTTTGTAGGTCCATTTTTCGTTGTAAGGCCGTTAATGTTTATATTCTTTTGTTGCTTTGAGAGAATTATTCGTATCTTTTATTCAATGTACTCTAAATTCTGACTAAAGGGCTTATAATGGAACATTTTCTATTCACCTGTGACAAGAAGAGAATGCCTTTTCAGCATTTTTTTGTTGTCTTTATTGCAGTTTCGAACTGTGCATGTTTTTAATTTCATTATAATGAAAAGAACGATCTCTGGAGGGATAGTAAATTCCTCCCAGTGCATTCAGAACTAGCTGCACCCTCCATGATTTTCTCCAGCCGTTTCCGACTAGAAACAAGAAATTAACATGTGCCCTCCTCCATTGGCTGTGAAAAAGGGAGATTTCCCAAATAGGATTGGTTCCCAGCCGCAAAGGGCAGAGTTTTGATTGGAGAGTCCTGTATTTGTTGCAAGCGCTTTAAGCCTGATCAACTGAATACGATTAAACGCTGATCCGTGCAGCAAAGGGTTGGATCGCAACATAGTGTTCTTTCAAAGGCTTAAAAAGGTACTGGTTTACTGCACGAAGGAAATTGTCAGACAGCACCATGGCTAGGCTATTTATCAAGTCTCTCTCTGCATCTTTGCACTGGAAAGCGGTGAAGTTTTCTGCCGCTAGTTTAGCTCCGGGATTTTGCACAAAAGGTGTTGATGTGCTGCCTTTTGAAAGCTACGAGAAACGCAGTCAGGCTTCTCGGCATAGTCCAGCGGATCCCATTGACGCCAGCAGACCCAGTACAACAGGGAAGATTGAGAACAAAACTTATCTGTGGAGCCGATACAATGAGATGAAGAAATTAGTCCATGGTAAGTTTGGCAAGGAATGATTATTGATCACATTGAGGGCATCCTGTTTTGAGTGATATCTTGCTTCTCCTGATTTATGTGAACGATCTGGATCTTGGCGCTCAGCGGACAACTTCAACGTTTGCAGATCACCCGAAACTGGGAAAAAAATTTTAAACTGTATGATATTCCAAAAGGACATTGACGAGTTGGTAGGATGGATGGATGGATGGATGGGTGGTAGATGACGCTTGATACAGAAAACTCGGATGATGCTTTTTGGGTAGGAAGAAACGTAGAAAATAGGAACAGGAGCAAGTCATTTGGCCTTTTGAATTTTGAAAGACAACGTAAAATGGTGGGGTATAATTCTAAAGCGAGTACAGGAACGGGAGACATTTTATTAATAGGGGCATAGAGCAAGGAGGTAATGGTGAACTTGTATAAGACACTTGTTAGACCTCGGTTAGAGTTATGTGCAGTATTGTGGGTGTCATTTCACAGGAAAATTGCAAATGCCTTGGAGACAGTGCACAAATGATGTACAAGAATGGCTCCAGGAATGAAAAACATTACTTATCAGAATAGATTGAAGAATCATAGAATCCCTACAGTATGGAAGCAGGCTGTTGACTCCACACCAACCTTCTGAAGGGTATCCCACCCATCCACTTCTTGTAACCCTGTGTTTCCAATGGCTAATCCACCTAGCCTGCACACTACAGGCAATTTAGCATAGCCAATCCACCATAACCTGCACAGCTTTGGACTATGGAAGGAAACCCACGCAGGCGGGGAGAATGAGCAAACTCCATACGGACAGTCGCCCGAGGCTGGAATCGAGGGCAGCATGGTGGCACAGTGGTTAGCACTGCTCCCTCACAGTGCTAGGGACCTGGGTTCGATTCCAGCCTTGGGTGACTGTCTGTGTGGAGTTTGCACGTTCTCCCCGTGTTGGCGTGGGTTTCCTCTGGGTACTCCGGTTTCCTCCCACAGTCCAAAGATGTGCAAGTTAGGTGGATTGGCCATGCTAAATTGCCCATGGTGTTCAGGGGTGTGTAGATTAGGTAGGTTATAGGGAGATGAGTCTGGGTGGGATGCTGTGAGGTTTGGTGTGGACTTGTTGGGCCGAAGGGCCTGTTTCTACGTCGAGCTATTGTCTTTAACTCATCAAAACCATTTAAAACTGACAGTAAAAATCATCTCCAAGGATTAGTTGTCCAGACTCATTTTATTTAAAATAGTCAAATAATTCCCACAATGACTCAAGCAATGCAGGATCTGGAGAGTTCCATCTCCTCCCTTATTACAAATTGTGTTCAGTATTTTATTTGGTTTTTTTTTTTGTTTCTCCTGGCTTTCAATAGTCTGAGAGTCAAGGTCAGATTAACTGGCACTCTTCAACCTTTTAAAAGACTCATAAATAAAGAGAATGAAAGAATTTGACTGAATACTTTTGCTTGTGTTCTTAACGGCCCCCACCCAGGATGAGGGATATCTCCATGCCAGCAAGTTGATTTTTGAGTACAAGAAGAAACTGACAATTAACATAAAAGGAAATCCAAAAGTCTTCCATTGGGCTAAATAGTAAAAGGAGGTGTTGAGTCTGCTAGGGACCAAAAAAATGTAATTATACATGGAACTGACAGCGTGGCTGAGTGCTAAATTAGCACTTTGAAACTGTCTTTACCAAGGAAGATGATGCTGTCCAAGCCATTGTGAAAGAGGAGATTAAGAGCATTGAATAAAACTTGACATGGAGGAGGTACCTAATGCTGATAAGTCATCAGGACTGGTTGAGATGTATCTTAGGATGCTGAGGAAGGAAATGGTGGAAATTGCAAAGGCACTGATCAGAATCTTCCCGTCCTCCTTAGATACAGGGATGGTGCCAGAGGACTGGTCAGTTACAGATGTTTGACCCTTTGTTCCAAGTAGGTTTAAGGTTAAGGCCAGTGACCACATACTAATTTATTTCACCTTTAGTGGGGAAGCTTTTAGAAAAATGTTATTTGGGACAACAAAAGCAGCCTCTTGCGAGTTAATTCAGTTTGGATTTAAGGGCAAATTATAATTAACTAGTTTAAGTTTTTGATCAGATTACAAAGGGTTAATGTGATTTAATATAGTGTACATGGGCTATCAAATGGCATTTTGATGAAGAGACATATAGTAGGTGCGTTGGTAAAATTAGAATTCATCCAATAAAATGGACATTAACAGCATGAATATAAATTGTTTCTTGTCATCGGTCAGACTTGTGGTTAGCAGTCTGACAGCATCTGTGAAGAAAAATATCAGAGTAAATGTGATCCCAGGCTTTATAAATAATGGGACAAGTATGCCATTACTCCACAAACTACCCTCCCAGTATGACCAAATTGCTGTTCTAACAGGTATGTTTTATACCTATGAAGCTTGGACAAGATATCCATGCCACAAGCTGCCTGAGACCGTTAATGAAGATCAGATGGCAAGACTGCCAACTACTTAAAACTGATCTGCTATTAATGGATGCACTTATCATGAGGATGTGACTATGATGATCAAGTTTTAAATGGGAATGTCTGCTGAGAAAATCTCCAGACTCTTTTGTTTTGTTCTGCATTTACAGCTGAGAATTCATGTTCTGATGGACAGCAGAGGAACTGTAAGGACTGGTTTAAAAAAAGCTTCTGAACTGTGGAAAATAGATGTCAATAAGTAGGAGCAACTTTCTGAAAATGACAGCCATTTATGAATACACCTGACACTGCATGTAAACACCAATTGAGCAAATCTTCCCTGAAACGTCAATGATTCTTGCTGTGGTATTTCTGGATCCCCATTGTTCAATCTGTGGATACTCATTTAGCAAAGATCAGACTTCTGTCATTTTAAAGAATTCATTACAAAAAATTTATTTGTCATTTTGGTGTTGGAGAACAAGCAAGTGAACAAGCCAGTTGTATAACTTTTGTGGCAATTAAAAATAAACTGAAGGTACTAAAAATTTGAAATATGAGTAAAATACCATTGTGCAGGGAGCTCATTGACACGAGTAAAGAGAAAAGAGATTAAAATTTCAGATGTAGGCCCTTTTTACTGTGAATATGAATATTTTTACTATGGCAGTGGAGCAGGGGATAATGATATAACCAGGAACGTCATTCTAGTCCACTCTGATAAGCATTGAGCTGCTTTATTTTAAAGTCCTTCATATCCTTTTGGTTTTAGTAGATATAATCTTGCATATTTAAAACTCCTAAATATATCCCCAGTTGAACCTGATTGTCATATGCTGGACTGAAAATTTATAATTTCACAACTCTGACTTCACATGTGGCAACATTGACGTACATCACAGTGAACTGGTATGTGCTAATAAGGTGAAATGAGAACATCTGCTGTGAGAACATGAACTTAAAATGGCCACAGTAATTGGCTAACCAGTGTGGTCAGCCAAACTTTATGAAACCAATTGGAATAGATTTAAATCATCTGAACTGAAGCTTATAAAAAAGTAACAAACTAGTGTATCCAGTAGGGCGTGAAGAAACACTCTAGAAATGAAATATGTTGGAGGTGTAAATCAAAATCAATGTGAAAGTTACATTTGCAATTAGCAACCTTGGAAGCAACAAATGCCAACATTGAAATCAAAGCTAGTTTGTCTATTTCTGGGAACAGCTTTAGGCAGAGCAGAGGAAGTAGATTTGTGACTAGAACCAGCTGGAGAAAGTGCTTACTTAGCCTCTTAAGGAAAAGTGTCACATGATAGAACTGATACATTTTAAAAAAAAAAAATCAGAACATCAAGAACCCAAGGACAACTGACACATTTGCCTCAGAGTACAGGATGCAAACAAACAATCATGGTTTCAGGTTGAAAGCCACTGCCTCAAGGATACGCTGAGGACTTTATGTTCCCATCATTTTTGTTCTGGACATTCCTTTTCAGCTTCTTTCACCTGTGTAGCTTGGTGGTGCCTCTTGATTTATTTTTCTCATGGTTAGCAGATACTAAAAGTGCTCTTTTTTTTTCTTGCAGTTAAAATCTTGTAAATGACTACTTCTTACTGATTCGATGGCCTTTAAGTAATTGCCTCTTTTATTAGGCAGTGTTATAGGTTTGTACTAGAAAGAACATCAGTCTTTTGAGGTTAGCAGAGGAGTTTGAAGAGAAGTGAACTGATTCACCCCCACCTGCTGAATGATGACAGACTATTGAGGGAGTGTGAAAAATGTTGTCTAATTGGTAATGTTGGAACCAGAGCTACCAAATTATGTTTCTAGGATACATGGGCTTAACTGGATTTTTTTTACTCTACAATAACCTGGTCAGGGACAATCACACTGCTGTGTTTGGAACTGGTTGAGTTGCTGGAGATACGTGGATCAAATCTCGGAATTGATCATGTATGGTTTATAGGGCTCAAATGCCCAAAATGGTTCAAAGGGAAATCTGAAGTGAGTTTAAAACCCTTCCAAATAAAATTATTTGATATTCATACATTTGAATGAATCTTATTTTTATTGGTAAATCTTGATATACAGCAACAAAACCATGATCCTCATTTCACTCAAACCTACGCATTCATGAGCATTTAAATGGTTCAACCACTTACCAATTAATGATCCATTGTTTACAATTGAAGTGATGAAGATTTGTATGAATATGGTCAGACCTTTTGGAACTTACTTTAGAGTTGGGTTCATATTAGGTAGCAGATGGATTGCCAATTCATACAGGCTGAGATGTGTGCCACACTAAATAACTTAGGTGTTTACATTTATTTCCTTTTTTGCTTCAACAGATGAGAAAATAGAACTACAAATAGGCTAATAACAAGTCTGCTTTTCCCTAAATTAATCCAAGGTTTAAGAATATTGTGGGATGCTCTTTATGAAGGGCCTCTTTTTTAATGTAAAAGAGAAAGATACCTCATTAAACGTATGTAGCGAAGTTACTGAGAAGTGCTACATGCAGCATTTAGTCTATTGAGGCAAAACCTTGCACTGAGTTTTTCTGCCTGAAGATA